AACGACTGCGTGGGTTGCTTGGTGGAGCTGATGGGACACGATGCCTTCCAGGTCAAGGTAGGTCCTGAGCCTGCTGCTGAGACACGAGTTCACGTGGGGGTCCCTTGCGGTGCAGAAGCAATTATCACTCACAGCGTGGGAGGGCAGGCAGTGCTGTAAGGCATTGCTGGTGCTCTGGCTCACCTCTGCTCACCAGCCTGCCAGTAGCAGGCACGCAGCTTTCTCTGTGAAGAACATCTTAGTTCATTCTTCTTCCTTTAGAAGTTGCCTCCTTTTGGTTTGATCCCTGGTGTCCTTGTTGAGGTGGGTTTTTCCTGTTGTTTTTTTTAAAAGGAATTGTCACTCTGCACCCTCATGAAGTTTGTTGAATTGGAGGCACAATATCCATTGATCAAAGTAGAGTGGAAGGGGAGTTTAACTTTTCCTCGTGAACTTCTTAAGGTAAGCTGCAGAACTGAAAAGTTCCTCCTGTCAGTTACCCGATGGCATGCACGATCTCATCTGCTCATCTTCTCCAGGACTAAAATTTCAAGCTAGGAGGGTTTCAGTGGGAAGGGAGAGGGGTGTTCTAGAGAGACCCCCGAGACCTAGAGCTTCTGTCCCTGGTGAGGTGACACCTGCAAGTGTGGGAGCAGCTGCCTTGTACAGGTTCGAGCTGGATTCCTGAGTGTTTATGAGGTGCCAGTTCTGGGGTGGTTTTTTGGAGTCCCTGGCCTCACTTGCAAGGATCGGGAGATGAGAGGGAAGGTACTGCCCCTGGTTCAGCCACCGTGTCATTTCTAAATTACATTGTCTTTGATAGAAGGGGCCCATCTTGGAGGTCAGGAGGGCTTGTCAGAATGGCTTGTGAACGTTGCTCTGGGGCAAGCAGCACACAGCCACGCAAGCTGCCTTTCAGAAAGACAGGAGGGTGCCCTCAGCCATCACAGCTTGCTGTCTGCTCCCATACTGTAAGAGGCTGACTTGTTGCTTTCCTTTACAAACCTTTTGCTAGGTAGTTGTTGATGGCTTACTTCCCTTAAATGAGGACGCTTCACTCCTGATCTCTCGCTTTCAAGAATATATGGAGTATGATGACATTCGGTACTTTGTCATAAAGGCGGTCACTGAGAGTATTGGACAAGTCATGCAGAAGACAAAAGAGGTAACAAATGGTTATTGTTGAGGTGGGTCTGGATAAACTGCTCTGAAACGTGTATCTTGTGCGTGAAGCAGGGAGGGACTAAGTGGTATATGGAGAGACTTTGGAAGCAAGAGAAATGAGTGCTCACTTGAAGGCATTGATTTTTTTTTTTTTTCTTTTTTTTTTTCCTTGCTCACAATGAATGCAAATTATGCTAAGACCATCTTCAGTCTGAAATTGGAAGTAGTTCAAGACACTGTTGTTCTTGCAAAACCTGGTCTGGGCTCTAGCTTCTGTTTTACCCAAATCTCTGCAGCTCAGGTGGCACAGGCAGAACTTTCAATTTTATTCTCTCTCTGGTGCAGAAGAAGAGTCTGTTTTCTTTAATTGGATCCACCAGTTTTCTTAAACCAGAATTAGTTCAGAGATAGGTTTTGTGTTAGGCAAACAAGTAATACTCCAGGACGAGGCACCAATAGAGAATATACCAGTATGTAGTTCAGCCATCAGCATTTTTCCTTTCCTTTTTCTTTCCTAAATATATTCAGTGCTTGGGAAATAGGCCAATATTGAAGTCCAGCATCTTACCATCTGTTGTGGAACTTGCTTCGTGTTTGATTATATGCTTTTTTCTCAGAGGCCGCTGCCATTTTACCAGCAGAACGTATTTTCCCTCATTTCGCCCATTAACATGCCGAACAAAGAGTGTGACATGGTCAAATTTATGGTGAAGCAAGGTTAGTAAGCTCCCCATGATGAACTGTGTATGAAAAGGAAGATCAGGTTTAAGATTTTTATTGTGTAAAGACTCTATTATTGTTTGCTAATGAAAAATGTCTGCTTCTGTGATCACGTGATTCTAAACAGTAATACAAAATCCACATTCCTCAGTCTGCAGTGGGGTCTGTCATGGCCTTGTGTCAAGACAAGGACTTCAGCCCAAATTTTTAGGGTATCAAAGGACTAAAAAAGAGTCATCTTAATTTTTTAAACATCCATTTCAAGTTCAACATCTGTTTTCCCTTTCTTCTTAGATAACTGGGAGGAATTGAAAGTGTCAAAGCTGCAGGTAATTGTTCATTTGGTGCTTCAGAGTTGAAATTTTATCTACTTAAAATGGAGCCTTATCTACACCAGTGTGTTTAACTCACTGCTTGCAATTCTGTTTTAAGGCACACAAGCAGGCGTTTGAAAAAATGTGGCTCAGTTTTTTGAAGCACAAGGTGGGTGTCACTTCTGCCACTGGTCTGCATTGCTTTCCAACTGCTAATTGTTAGAGGCTGTGACTGTCCGTGCATGGAGCTCCTGGTAGGACCTCAGTACGCTTTTAGAGTCAGATGAGAACAGCCCAGTCACCATTTCTGTTGGACTGTTCTCCTGCCAAGAAACATGGTCTGCTGCTTCTCCTTACTCTCAGCCTTTTGTTCCTGCCTTAACCAAGTCTGCCTGTAAGGAACGATCTGCAGCATAACAGCCTCTGTTCGCAAGTTGAAGGTTCCCAAACCTTTTTGCTGGTGACTTTCCCCTCTGAGCTGTGATGACACTTTTAGTTGTGAGCACCTGCTTCTCTGAATTAACTTAGTTGTCAGGTGTCACTTGTAAACTCTCCCGTTTGGGAACTGTTGCTGCAAGCCGTTCTGTATTGTCCTGGCCCATTCCCCTTTGCTTGTGCGTTGCCTTTTTGAGCTTTGAGGTAGCTGTTGCTTTCCAAGTTCTCCCTGCAATGATTGTTTTGTCCTTCACAGCTACCCGCTGGCCTTTACAAAAAAGTTCTTGTCATTTTGCATGACTCCATCCTGCCTTACATGAATGAGCCCACTCTCATGATAGACTTCTTGACAGTGGCCTATGGCATAGGTGAGTGAAAACAGGCTTTTTGTCCTTTGTGAGGCTCTGCAGCATGGTATGTGTGGACTTGGAAGGGCTGCTGGATCCAACGCCATGGCCTGGGTGATGAAATAGTTGTACTTTTGGCTGGGATGAAGCTAAGGAACTAGCGTGAACTCTCTTGTCCCTGCAAGTGAGATGTTTTTACCTGTGTTTGTCAGTTGTTACTCCTTGTATGTAAGGAAGATCATATTTAAGGCTTTGGGAAGAGTAGAATACTGGAGTGATTTCTTTTAAATATAGAGTTCAGCCAGCAATGCTGATATCTGGCCTGCATCTGGACACAGGACGCACAGATTCCTACGGAAATGTTGTTTCTGAGGAGATCTTTGCCTCCTCAGTGAGGCTTTCTTGGGGAATTAGAGCAGCATGTTTGTGTCTCTCAGTCCTTCAGAGCCTATTCTCCTAAACTACAGCTTAATCTTTGTAAGTAACTTATGAGCCGGAGGATGGTTTTAGATGAAATTGTGTTACCTTACAGCCATCATGCTGGCTCTAATTTCAGGCACTCTTAGTTTTGTGTTCCTTGTGGGAAAGTTTTATAATAGAAACAAGTTGAAGCTGATATTTATTTTCTTGTTTTGTTCATACCTCCCTGCTTTCTTACAGGTGGAGCAATCAGTCTTCTAGCCTTAAATGGATTATTTATTCTGATTCATCAGCATAATCTGTAAGTGAAAAGAGCATCTTGTTTAAAGGAACAAGGGGTTTTGCATTTATACCTTTATAGAAAGGAACTGAAATGGATTCTATACATCTTCAGGTTTTAAAATTCCCCCATGAGAAAGCCAAACTCTGCACAAGAGGCTCAGCTGTTTGGATGCTGAGCTCTTTTGATAGTCTGACCTTTTTTTCAGCTGAGCCTAAATATCCTCTTCTCCAGACTGTGGTTGCTCAGCGCTTGAAGATGGATTTCCATTGATCTGATTACATAGTGAAGCCGTAGTCTTTGGTATGCCTTTCACTGGATCCTGTACCATTTGCAGTCAATGGACATAGCTTCACATCCTGAAAATGGCTGGGCACTGCAGGAGCCATAAGTTCACCTTACAGCTTGTTTTCAAGTGTGGCTGTGGAGAGAAGCCTAAGAAAGCTAAACAGAGCATAGCAGTGGTCTGGGGTAGTCTATAATGAAAGCACAGAAACATTTAGACACAGCGTAGTCCCACTGTACATCACTAATGGATGTTGTCTTTTTCCTTTTTTTAACAGGGAATATCCTGACTTTTACAAAAAGCTGTACAGTCTTTTAGACCCTTCTATATATCACGTGAAGTACCGAGCCCGCTTTTTCCATTTGGCTGATCTGTTTTTGTCTTCATCGTAAGTAGCATCTTTATTATGTGTGTTCACGTATTTTCTTCCTGCTTTTCCGTTGACCAGAGACTGTTCTTGAACAGTCCCCCACATGTCTGGATAAAATGTGTTCAGTGTGCCTACTGGATTAGAGTAATTTTTGTCGAGAAAACTGAATGCAAGAGTGTTATTGTAGTGTTGTGTAATTTTTCACGTGCTATTTTTGATGATTTGCCACACAGCCATCTAGTTTCGGAAAGTAAAAATGCAGTGAGTTATCTGAGTTTGATCTGCAAGTGATTATGGATCTGTATTCCACTTTGGCTGAAAGTGGTGATTTTTCTGTCTTTATGAACATGGAAAAGTAACATTTGCACATTTTTTAGAGATCGTTAAGCTGTTGATAAATTGATGACCTTTTGCAGACATATAACATTGAAATATATTTGACAGTCTGTCTTGATGCTGTCGATTCATTGTACACAGGGAAGAAACTAGCTAAGCAGCTGGTCATATAGTTGCCATCATAGGTTATAAAATAAACCAAGAGTAACACTTTACAGTTCAGCACTAGGCACTTAATATCAAGCCCCTTGTATTCATAGTGTACTTTGGAGAGAGTAACAAGATCTGACAGATGGTGTCCTGTGGGGTGGCTTTGCGGAGCCTTGCAGGTGTAGCTGAAGGCTGAGTGGCTGAAAATTGTCATCTTTCATCCCGGCTTTTCTGACCTGAAGAAAGTGCCTAGATGAGCTGATTGCTCTTAGAAATTTGCATTTTTACCATAAAAAGAGAACCGTCCTGCACATTTACATTACAGCAGCTTTATGTTCCCATTAACAGCTGCACTGCTTACTTTAGTCCTGGAAGTATTATGTAAATTTAACACCATGGCCTGTGTATTAATTAAACCCACAAAATGACATTAGAAGAATATAATTAAGGTTGCCTGGCCAAGCACTCAGAAGTTTATAAAATGACTGAATAAAGACTGCCATGTGAATGCCTGTGTACAAGAGCTCTGCTTGGCTATGGCGAGTGCCTGGAGTGGTGCCATGCATCTGGATTGAATCACAGAGTGATTTGAGATTATTCATGCATTGAATGGAAATGCCCCCAGATTTGTTTCAGAGCGTGCACGAGACCCTATATCACTGCTTGAAACCAGGATTCTTACAGCTTCTCTTTACTCCATAGCCCAAAAAATCTGAAGAGCCCCACTGATCTTTAACCTGACATGCTGCTTGGATTGATGAGACTGCTGGCTCATTTTCTAGGACTTTTACATGCTGGTTTCTTCTGTCTCCTTCCCAACAGTCACTTGCCGGCGTACCTGGTGGCAGCATTTATAAAGCGCCTCTCCCGGCTGGCCCTCACTGCTCCTCCCGAGGCTCTACTCATGGTCATTCCCTTCATCTGTAATCTCTTTCGGAGGCACCCCGCATGCAAAGTGCTAGTACACAGACCTAATGGGCCAGAAGGTAAGAGGGAAGGTGGGCAGGGGAGTTTTGTGTTATGCCTTTAGGCATCATAAAGAGCAGGATTCCTGTGGAGGAGGAGGGGAGATCCCTGCCCCAGTTCTGAGGTTTAGAAGGATCCCTCTGTCCCTTGAGTTTGTAGAAAGCCAGCAGGCTGCTCCTGCAAGTTCTCTTGACTGCGAAGAGCCATTTGCATTGCTCCTCTCTGACCTTAGGCCTCACAGCTGGCTCCCCTGCCTTTGTGATTCCCTGGGAGAAGGCTGATTTGAGCCTAACACACTGACCCAGGCTGCTTACAAATGCTAAAGGGCTGGCGGGGAGCTGTACCAGACATGGGGCTTGTCTTGTTCACTTCAAGAAATGAGAAGAAAATGAATGCGGAAACCCAGAGACCTCTTCGATTTCCGTCTGTAGTGGTTTTGTGTAGATGGCCCCACTGGGGCCTCAGCAGTCTCCTGGGTTTTTCATCTCTCTGTGATTTAACTGATCAGTGTTGAACATCACCAGTGACCGTTCAAAGTTGCCTGAGATGCCCTTTGCATCAGACTATTCCAGTTCTTCGTGCCCTACTTCCTGTGCTCTTTAAAAGCAATATGATTCTGTAGTGCTGCAAACAGTGACTCTTGGGTTGTGCTGGGATGCGTCAGCTTGTTCCTGGACCCTAAACGTCTTGAGAAGGGGCAACTCTGGCTGTAGCACTGCTCTGGGTCTCTGTGTTCCCTTTGGGGTTATGTACGTCACGCAGAAGGTGTTAGCTCTGTATCTCTGTTTCCTTAGATATGTCAGAAGATCCATATATTATGGAGGAGGAGGAGCCATCTGAAAGCAGGGCTTTGGAGAGCTCTCTCTGGGAAATTCAGGTATGTCAGCTAAAAAGGAACATCTGTGTCTGGTATGGGCTTCTTCCACCCTTGCCACTTCCTTGACACATGTTGGCAGCGGGCAGTCCCATTTACAAGAACCTGCTGACGTAAGTCTTGCAAATGAGATGAGTTTCTGGCTGATCATTTATTCTGCATCCTTTTCTGTCCTAGCATAAGAGGCAAAGGATTCCACACACTGGAGAAATCGTACATGCTAATTAATAGGTGACTTGTGAGCACGCATCTGACTGTGCAGCTGAAAAGCGTGCAGTTAACAGCTGAAACAGGCTAAATAGCTGCAAACGTAGGAGGCTTTTTATTTGCTTTGGAGGGGAGAGAAAAACTTGCTGAGCACTGATGGAAATTAATTTAGTACAGCTAGGTCATCCTGTAGAAATGTGTTTAAAAATACTAGAGAAGATTGTAACGTTCACAAACTTGCCTCTGCCAGAATTTGGTGTTCACTGAAGATCTGACCAACAAAGGAGCTACCTGTGTGGGAATCCAGATGGATGTGTGTTACCCTGCACTCATTAGACCACCTCCTATTTGTCTTGCTTTTGCAGTCGCTACAAAATCATTATCACCCAGATGTGGCCAAGGCAGCTGCTATCCTGAACCAGTCACTGTCTGAAATAGAGGATGACATATCAGGGCTCCTGGAGCTCTCAGCTTATGAGGTAGCGTTGCTGTGCCTTTGTGAATGATTGGAACCGGAGGAAAGGAGACTGGTTCCTGGCCGCAATAGCTGTGTCCTGTTCATCAACCTTGCTGATGGGGAGGGAGTTAGTCTGACTTTTGGTTACCCAGAGCCAGGGAAAATGGGAAAATTTCTGTTAAATAACGGAGCATGAGGTAGCAGTGGTGACAGGGATGGCTTTTATATAAAAGGTTTATTGCTGGGTCTTTTAAAACGTTAGAGTGAGCAGTGGTATCAGCCACGGTGAAGAGCTTGTACTGAGTTTTGCCAATATCTTCTGGTTTTTTCTTTGTAGCTTTTTGATAAAGAAGTAAAGAAAAAGGCTGTTGATGTGCCCCTGGAGTTTGAGCAAGTACGAGGTTTGTTTGGGAAGAAAAATGATATTTTTGCAGAGCACTTCACTTTAGATTGATATGATCTCTTATAAACACATCCGCACAGCTGACTGATCTTAGGGACATGCACAAAGCTCACGCGTTGTGCTTGTCAGTTCTGCCTTTGAAGTATCTCCATGTGATGTGAGCTGGACTGCTTGAGAAGAGTGCAGCCTTCTTCAGTGACCTTTGCCGCTACCCGTGGATGGACTTTCCTTTGTTGCTCCTTGTTTCTCATGCTTGCGTGTTGCTGCCTGATATTTGGGAGGGATTTTCCATCAGAGCAAATTTTTCTGGACTTGTTCATTGCTGGGATTCGAGCCCTTTTCTCCAAAGCTGCTGGTGCTGGCTGTGATCAGTGATTGCATCAACAAACCATTTGCTGCCATTTGAAGGAACTGAGGGGAAGTGCGGTCTCTGACTACTGCTCTTATTTTTTGGATGTGTTACTTTTATACTAGAGCTGATAACCTATTTGTAGCAGTGACTTCAGTACATAGCTGTAAACACCTGATGATAGTCTAATTATATTTTTTATATACACTTTTGAACTCATGTCTTCAGAGGGATGTTTAGCTTCTATGTACTCGTCTACCACTCACGTTTGAGGCATTGAAGCTCAGGTTTGTCAAAAACAACTCATAGCTGATGCTCAGTAATTCCATCTATGAAGTGTTGCTGATGTTCCTCCATGTACATCCATCTCATGCTGTAAGGTTGCTTAACTCAAAATGCTCATGAGCTTTGGAAATGAGCTTAATCCTGGTGACTGCTGTAGCTAGGGAGGCCAACTGGTGTGTAGTGGGAGTTACGTCTAATCCTTGATACTTGCTTCAGAATGATAAGCAGCTTAATGTAACTTTGCTTGCAGCCTGCAAGCGTTGTAGGAGCTCTGGCCAGTGTGTATCCAGGTGCTAATCAAGCTTTAACTAGTCCACTAATACTAGGTGGCTTTGTTAATTTGGTTTTTTCATATAGTTGCAGAAGTCATGCAGAAATTCCTTCTTTTTTTTCCCCCCAAGGTTTTAAGTTTGAGATGAACTGCTCATTAAGAACACAGATAAACAGACTTGTCTGCCAGAAATTAGGTTTCTTGACCTCTATTTTTTTGACTCTATTTTTCTCCTCCACAAAATACGATTTCAAAATATGCAAGCAGTGTTAAAATCTAATGAGACAATAAGTTGTTGAAAATAATTACGAAAAAAAGTCCTGAGTGAGTTTAAGTCAAGGAAAACTGCAGCTGTCTTGGAGATACAAAGTGTTATGTTTTCTTCATCTAGTTTTCTTCATGCTTTCCAAACAATGGACATGTCCTCAGAGTATATAGCTCTACCTCTTCTTTTTTCCTGATGCTTTTGAATTCAGGTGGGGTGTTTTTCAGGATTGAATTTTTTTTTTCTTTAAAAAAAAAAAAAGTCATCTCAGTCTCTGTTCTCTGGTGAAAAAGCAATCCTGTCTCCTCCCTGGCCAGCCTGCTTTTCTTTTTTCTTTGACTTCTGGTATCTGTGGTAGGAAGGCAGAATGGCTGAGATGATAACTTACAACTTGAGAGACTTCAGTTCAAGTTCACCCAAGCCTTGTATTTCAGCTCTAAAATGTATTTCCCTATATCATATGTACATTGTAAGTATGTGTTTGGTAAACATTTTGAAGTGCTTGGATGCTGTAGTAATGAGGACCACATAGCTACCTTTGAAAGAAGTATGTAAGTGTATCGTCTTTCAGATGAATGAATATATTGAATATTGAAATGAATGAATATATATATTGAATACCTTTCTCTGCATCTTTTTGTTTCACTCAGGTTGGCCCAGTTACATCTGTCTGAAATCACTGATGGGCAATGTCATCCATCTCTTTCATAATATTGACACTCCAGAAGTGTTAAGATTCTTTTTTTAATGCACAAATATTAAACCATTTGGGCATGGGTCAAGTCCAGGTCTCGTGGTTGAAAATGAGGGAGTTTGGTTGGGTTCTTATATCTGGACAGAGGGTAAGCAGAGTCTTTCTGTCAACAAGGCGTCTGAAGGGCTGCGTAAGCTGCGTGCCTGTCTGTGGTTCTGGGCTCTCCTGGCACCAAACAAGGATAGCCTACACATGGGGCAGATTGAGTTGGTGGGGAGCAGAGGAAAGCAGCAGCTTCTGCCTTCTGATACGGCCTGCTGCTGCCTTGTGGGCAGAGCCTTGTACCTCTGAGACCAAATGACCACAGACTAAAATACTATCAATACAGTTGGAAAAGGGATGCTGCTGGAAATGGGGGGTTTTGCCTTTCCCCAGGAGGAAGACTGCAAAGGCACCAGCATCTTCACTGTTTCACCAGCTGTGGATCCTAAGTACTGTACTGCAATTAGTGGTGACTTGATTGGAGCAAGATGCAATTTATTTTTTCAAGTGCATTCCCAGTGCCCTGAGTGCTGACCATTGCAGCTCCCACTGAGACGGAGGGTTAGGCTGACACGGTGTGTTTTCAGATCCCTCGGCGTATTTCAGTGCTGAGCTGGAAATGCTCTTAGCACTTTACTTAAAGTATGTGCAGCTGACCTGGTGTGACTTCATTATTTCGTGGTGATGCCTAGCCTTCCCAGGCACAGCCCCACTGTGCTTGGTGCAGACAAGACAAACCGCAGGCAGCTCAGAGGAACTTACAGCTTAAAGCCTGGGTCCACTTTAGACAAGCCTTGAAGTCCAGAGACTTCATCCCCCGTCTCTGGTGCTACACTTGCCTAAGCAACGTTCTTAAAACTAGCTCGTAGGCGGAGATAGCCTGTCCTTGGAAAAACATTCCACCTGGTCTTTCATCAAGCTTTCATCTTTAAACTTTCACCCCCCTCCCCTCAATAGGAGGCATCAGGAAAAAAATCAGCGGTTACAAATATTAAAAGTTTCATCTGCGCTGAGTGAACAACCCTTATCAGACTGCACACCCGCTGCTGCTACTGCTCTACAGGTCTCCACAGACTGCAGATTATAGATGCTTTAATCATAGTGTGCCTTAACTGGAAGGCCAGATTGAAGTACCAGGCAGAGAGCGCATAAGTCACTCCTGTTGTTATTTGATTTTTATCAGAATTGGGGAGGGGGGAGCGGGCTGTTCTGGGGCTTGTTGTCATCGGGTTGTTTCAGTAAGCATAAAAGATAGTTCTATGAAAACATTGACATAGTCCCCCACCCATCACTGCCTCATTCCCCCACCAGAGGATAGTGATAAGGTCTCTGTGTTGCAATGGACTGCCCTTGGTTTATTTTCCTGAGCTTTCATTCATTTAAAGGCCATTCAGAGTCATCCTAGCCTGAAGGTAAGAGAGCTCGATGAGATCTGTCTTGTGAGTCAAAGGTCCAGGAGACCATGGTGTTTGTGTTAATCAGCTTAGAATTTTACTTTTAAGATACTCATTGTGGGATAGAGGAAAGTATACATTTACATCCAAAAATAGATGAAAAAGTGCAAATGCCAGCGGAGGCCTGCGGCAGGCTTGCCCCACGTAGCGGGATCTCTGCTCTGGGGCAGAGTCGGTGCCTGTCCTCTTCCAGCGCAGTTGCACATACGCTTGGTTGCAGGCTGTCAGTGGTCCTCCAAGAAATTAGGCTTCTGTGTGTAAAATAACTCGCTTTTCACACCGTACGTTCAGGTACCTCAAGTGGGTGTTAGGACCTGCCTAACCGGCATCCCCTGCCTGTCGTCTTAACCACCTGGGAGTCCACCTCCGCTCCTCTGAACTGCATGTAAGCTCCTCTCAGCGTACAGGAGCTGGACACTGAGCGAGCTGATAAATCCTGTCTTAGCTCCAAAGGGGCCAAGTGCTTAAAAAAACCAGTAAAAAATGCCTAGCCCCGCTGGGCAGCTGCTATTAGCGTTAAGGTGGTTTCCCAGCCCCAGGATAGTGGAAGCTGCAGCGCAGTCATAAGCCCTGTGTTTTCCACTACCTAGTTTTGAAAAACAAATGAGCTCTGGGGTAATTTACAGCCCTGCTCAGGCAAAGAGGGCTACAGGATCTCGGTTTGACCGACACCAGCCTTCTCCAGCACTATCATAATCAATATTCATTCACTGAAGTCTATTAGAATTGGAGATTTACTGCTATTAATAAGCCAAGAGTCTATCTTACTGTAGTTTATGAAGGAAATTTTAGGTCTGTTAATAAAAAGAATTGCTTTTCTGCAGTTTCTTAGCCCTGTCCCTGGGCCAGGCTTGCGTCTCTAAGAAGAGAGAACTGGAGCACGTGGGTAGAGCCAAAAGAGATAGATAAAAACAGAGGGAAACTTCTCTTCAGAGCTGGTGGAAGGCACCTGCAGCTGGGTTAGTGTATGGCAGCTTCAGAGAAAGCTGTCTTGGTCTCCTGTAATCTTCTAAGCCTGCATGCAGATGAGAGGAGCAAAGCTTGAGCTGTTTGGGAACATCACCCGCTCGGCAGCGAGCCTGCGCTCTCTGGCCGCTTCGCTTGGGCACCTGCAGCACTGTCAGTCAGGCATAAGCACACTGCTTATGGGGAACTCGCCCTGTGTTTTACAGCTGGAGGATATCTGCCAGCAATGACCACATGGGCTGTAGTGCCAACCTTCCTCTTCCTGAGAAATAAACCCCAAGAGCCAGGACAGCTGGGGTGCTCTGGTTGATGGTGCAGGCACAGAGGATGTGAATGTCAACTCCGTCCTAACAGAGTGAAAACCTGCAGACTCCGTGGCCTGCTGGTATCCCCATTTTGTTGATAAATGAACAGAGCGGACCTTATCAAAACGAGCAGACTGCAGTCCTGCTAAGGTAGCTCCGCTTGCGCTAAAGATAATTGATGCTTTAATAATTCTACGCATTATCCAGATTGTGGCCAGAGTGCTTATGTGAGGAGAAGCATCAATCACAGGTGGTTGTATTTATTTAACTTTTATCAAATATTTAGGTGGGTGGCAAGGTGCATTCTTGTGCTGCTCTTGGGGAAAGAGATATGAAGTGAATGAATCATCACATCCCTTTTTCCTACATCAGTTTCCTGCAGATTGGGAGAGCGAGGATTTACATTTTAGTTATCTCAGCTGGAGACAGGAGATACCAGATGCTGTGGTATTGGAAACAGAGGCGTGATGACTAAGAACTGCAGTTCCCAAGTGGAAGGCCTTCAGTCTCATCTGCTGATGAAGAGACGAGTCTGCTGCTCTGCCCAGGTAAGGTCCTCCTGCAACCTGGGCAACGCCTCCTGGAGTTGAGTGAGCCTTGAGAGAAGCTGTAGGTGAAATTTGCTGCTGTGGCACACAGGTAGACTTACAGGAGGAGGCCAGGGCGAGGGATGCAGGCGGTAAGTGAAGTCCCA